CAACACTGCTGATATCTTCACCAAGGCACTTGCGCCTTGTGATCATCAGCGCTTCTGTACTCAGCTGGGTCTTGTGCCTACCTTGCCTCACTTGCTCACCCCTTGACCTTGTTTGTACTGTTGCATATATATATACACCTGCTCTTGCTTGTCTAGCCTTATATATATATGTAATCCTGCATGTGAACTGGCCTTGTGGCCTTGAACTTGTGCTCGGAATGTGTGGTGACTTTGTGATCCACCCTGAGCTTGTTTTGCTTTGCTTGACTGGTCTTGTGACCCCTTGTTCTCCCCCACTTTGCCTATGGGGGTGTGTCAGATTTATATGACATAGCTACTGTAGGCTATAGTGGGGTAGCACATATGGGGTACAGTTTTCCTAGGGTTTGCATTTGTACCCAACTTTCCCTTAGTCATTCCTCGTTTCTTCTCAATAAGATCCTCCCCTGGCACACCAGTAGAGTGGGTCCAAGGTAATTTACGCAGACGGTGTTGCGGAACCTTCGTTGCGCGCGGAGTGGCACGCCCCTACACAAAGGAAGAGTTCCTGAAGGTCTACCCCCACTAGCGCGACTTCGCAAAGAAATTTACCATCACTCAAGAAGAAGCGCTGGCGTGTTGCGAAGCAGAGGAGCTTTGCCAGAAGAGCATCTCCAAAGCGCGCAGAACCTTCGCGTGCAGCGCATGGGGCGTAGAAGAAGAGAGCGCCACCAATGAAGGGGGGTGGGAAGCAACGACAACTAGGGAATAAGCGACACCGGCGGTTGGGGCAACACTAGAGGTACCTGGGAACAATCCCTGGGACCAACATATCTCTCCGTGTGATTCCCGACAGGGAATTCCTGGCGCTAATGCTGACGACGGCCAACAAAGTGGAGTCAGAAGAAGCAGCGCCAGCAGAACCTACCTTTGGCCTGCGCGCAAACAACGACTTGTGGCATTAGCGCCTCGATCCCCCGTCGCGAGCAAACCCTGAACAAATGTATTGAGGCGGGAGTCTTCGCGCCCGGCGCACTCCTGCGCCCTGATGGCTCCGAAGTCTGAACAACATCGCAGCTGCGCAACTGCACCGTGTGCCCTGAAGCCGTGCTGAGTCATCAACCGTTCCCACTGCTGGAACCTGGAACCAATCGATATCCCAAACTGCAAAAGGTATATAGCGTCGTCCTTGTCGTCGGCCACTGCGGAATCAACGACAAGGGGTACACGCTCACCTTCGTCGACGCAGGAACCCGCTACGTGTGGATCGCAAACGTGCAATTGCGCAGCAGGGTGTATGAGGTCTTCTACCTTTGGCTGGCGCACGCGGAGCGGCAATTCGGGAAGAAGTTGCAGATTTGGCAAACTGACGGCGCAACAGAATTCCGCAGCAAGGAGCTGCATGAATACTTGGCGCAAAAGGGAATTTCTCACCACATCTCCCTCCCCTACGCGCATCCGCAGCAGGGTGTCACTGAGAGCACCAACCGCACGCTCATGACGAAGGTACGCGCGCTGCTGAAGTAGTCGAAGCTTCCCCCGACATACTTGCCGTACGCGATGCACCACGACATGCGGGTGCACAATCTCCTCTCCTCCACCGCCATCATAGGGAACCTGTCTCCGCAAATGAAGTGGACCGGCAAGAGGGGCGAGACCTCCATGCTCCGAGTGTGGGGATGCATGGTGCAGTATCGCCCGCCGACCTCGACCATCGGCAAATTCGCAAGCCGCGCGCGTTGGGGGATTCATCTCGGCATAAGCTACGAGTAGAAGGCATGGATAATCCTGGACCTGCTCAGCCGTAAGGTTACAAACATGCGCGACATCATCTCGCAAAGTCATCTTCTACAAGCAACTCAACCTCACTCAGTACCGTGCGGACGAGCAGGCGAACGCAAACCGGGTCTACGCGAACGATGGGCACCGCCATGCTACTCCTGAAGACGAAGCCGCTGCTGCAATCCTGGAGTAGGACAACGCGACTAGTTCACCAACATCGGCGGAGGCGGTGACGACGAGGACAGCGACGAGTCGCCTCCATGACCTGCGGGAGGAAGCAACAGGGACGCTCCGCCACCGCCACCACCTGAGCCCGAAAGCGACGATGACGACGTACAGGAAGTCGTTCCGCAGCATCGTCACAACAGCACTGTTTCCGGGCTGCAGCTACTAGGCCTACACACCGCTACCTCCACAGCTACGCGCGTCCTCGAGGCAAAGAACCCACGCCAAGCTCTAACGGGACCACACAGCAAGGAATGGCGCGAAGCCATGGATGCAGAAATTAAGGCGCTAGAATCGCCCGATACTTGGGTGCTCGTTGACCATGCATCCATCAAGGGCAGGAGAGTGCTTTCGGGGAAGTGGGTCTACCACGTGAAGACCGCAGCAGACGGAACGATCGAGCGCTTCAAGGTGCGATGGGTCGTACGCGGTTACGATCAGAGGCACGGCATTGATTTCGATCAAACATTTGCTCCAGTTAGTCGTCACACCTCCGTCAGGATCCTGCTTGCTATCACCACGGCAAGACACCTACCTGTCTGCCAGATCGACGTAAAGAACGCATTTCTCTATGCGCTGGTGGATGCCATGATTTTTGTGGAGCAGCCGCACACCTACGGCGAAGGGGACCCGCGCGTCTACCAGCTGAAGAAGTCGCTTTATGGGATAAAGCAAGCACCACGGCTCTGGCAGCAACACCTGCACAAAATCCTACTTGAGATAGGATTCCAGCAGCTGCCACACGACCCGGGCATGTATCGCCTGCATTTCTTTGGCGATTACATCCTGCTTACCGTATATGTCGATGATCTGCTCTACACAGGGACGAGCACCACACTGCTTGACCAGTTTGAGAAGAACCTGGCGATGCGCGTCGACATCACCACCAACCATGATGTGAAGCAGTTTCTGGGCCTTAACATCTCTTACTCGCCAGAGGCCATTCATCTCTCAGCTACCAAGTACGCTGAAACTCTCGAAAAGCGGTTCAACATTTCCCCCGCACCACTCTCCACTCCCTACCGCACACCCGGACCGAACCACAAACCCGACAACAAAACCCTGTCCCCTGCAGGACTTCACGCTTACCAGTAGCAGCTGGGGTGCTGCTCTTTGCCTTAGTCACATGCAAGCCAGACCTCTCCTACATCGCGAGCCAACTAGCTCAGTACTCTCGTAAACCAACGGCTGAAAATCTCCTAGATCTGGCTTGCATGTGAGGCTCTATCTACAGGAGATGCTACAAGAGGCAAAAAATCCATCTTCACCAACCTTTCGCCTGCACTGTGACAATCAGAGCGCGACCAGGATCGCGAACAAACCTGGGTTCGTCAATCGCACCAAACACATCGCACTGCGATACTTTTTCGTCAAAGACGAAGTCGACAAGGGCAAGGTCGGTTTGACCTATTGCCCGACGGGTGACATGGCAGCTGACTTCCTCACGAAGCGACTGCCTCGTCACCAATACCAGCACTGCTACGAACTCAGTGGAGTAGTCAAGCGGGTCAAGACTTGCTATGGCCAGGAGTGAAGGGGGGTGTTACGAATAGTAAATTACGAAAGCACTGCGCACTTCTAAAAGTAGCAAGTGAAACATGCAGTAAAGAGTACGAAGACGAAAAGGCGGATGGACGCGAAGAGCCCCGTATGGTTACGAAGGATCTGGACCGTCGGGGCAGACAGCATCGGGCAGCTGCAGTGGCGAGGAGTCTGCCGGGAACAGTTCGTAACTGTCTGGATTCGCACGGTTGGATTTCGCTGTAATAAGGGAATGTATTCCTTAGAGTACATGGCTAGTCTAGGTCGTTTCATATTCCCGTGTACTCTTATTTATACGAATGTATTTGCATTATATATTATCTCAGTCATTTTACATCCACTCTGACCTGAGGACAATCTTCTGCTGTAATACTCTCTGCGAACCTTCCTGGGGTGATCCTAGGGACGACTAACCTTTGATCGCAACACATGCTCCACTTGCTTTTTGCCACGCTGCTTCCACCAGTCCTAACACGCGGATTGCTCATCTCGAACATGGCATGGTGAAAGGTGGGCGAATGGGCAGTGCTGGGCAAGAGCGCAGCAGATATGACGTGGCCATGCTGCTGCTGTCAATGGAACTCGTTGTCTACACGGATGACATCACAATTGTGGGGCCTTCGGAGTGGGCTGGCGAAGCCTTTGCCATGATTGTCTCTGAACTACAACAGTGCAGCTTGCGGTGCAACTTCCACAAGTCCAGTTCTTGGTACCCGATGGCGGAGTACCTACCATACCAGCCACCATGCCTCACGGGCTGGTGGCTAGCGCCGACGGCATCCGCGTTCCAGGCAGCCCGATTGGCACCAGGGCTTTTGGAGCGGATCTGCCCTGCTACAAGGGGAGTTGTAGGACGCGGCAGCACCAGCCACCGCTGTCGTTTCTGCTTCTGCACAAACATGTATGCTAGGTAGGAATTTCACAATTTGTTCACCAAGATACTCATCATTTGCATCAATTTGGTTCTGCTTCACATAGAGCATGAGCCTGAAGGTAAGGTCCTCCTCGGAGCCATTAGTGATCCCTTCATTTGTGTTAATCACATCACATCCATCCGCGATGAAAGCAATAACATTCTGAAATGGGTTTCCATAAGTTTCAACACAAATACATCTTATAAACCTCAGGGGGGGGATATTAGCAACAGAAAGGCAAAAAAGGTGCGGTATAAACCCCTAAGGCCGTCTGTCTGGGTGAAAACGGTAACGCTTAGTATAGCATATAAGCACCATAAGATAGTAAGGGAAATATGGTGATGTCTCAAGCTATACGGCTTCATGAAAGTGTCAACGTGAGCCTCAACAAATAACCTACAAGAGTTCTGGAAAAAGGTCATCCCACCAATGAGCACCTTGAGGCCTTTCCCTGCATCCATGCTCCGGTCTGCCACTGCATGCATCCCTACCCGGGCTTGTGCCCAGAAAATTATCAAAATGCATGAAGCAGCTGGTGCTCTCGCTCCCATCCAAACTATGTGCCTTACTGATTTGTGCCTTACTGAGTCCCATCTCCTCCAACAGCCCCCCTTTCCCCACATCTTCATGCATGCTCCACTCGCTTTCCGCCACGCTGCTCCCACCAGACCTAGCAAGCTGATTGCTTGTCTCAAACATGTCATGATGGAGAGCAGCAGAGAGCAGGGCTCGGCTGCAGGGCTTGAGGTCAGAGACTGATGACAGAGGGAAGGTTTCTCCCTGAGGAGTGGGATGTGCGGAAGTGTAAGGGTTCACAGGGAAGCAAGCGGAAGGGTCCAGCAGAACTGAATTGTCATCATGTTCCTGCTTCTCTGCCTGCTTCTGTGGCTGCTGATGTGCCTCCTGCTGTGTCTCCTTCTGAGCCTGCCACTGTGACTCTGCCTGGTGCTGCCGACCCCCCTCCTCTCGGCTTTGTGCTAGCCGCCCCAGAGGCGACTCAGAAGCTTCCTCCCACCCCTCATGCAGCTGCTGCACCTCCCAACCGAGCTCTTCTTGGTGCAACCAGGGCCGCCCTTCGGCATTCATCTGTGTGTCATACAAGACCACGGAGCCCCTGTTCTCCTGAGCCGTTGATTGGAGATACGCCTCTTGTTGATGAGCAGATCCGCGCTGTTGGATTTGTGTAGTACAGAATCCCCTCTGCTGTAGCGTGTGGGTATAAGGTGATTCAGCTTCAGGAGATTGCAACAGAGCCAGGTATCCTGTGGTTTCCTCCACTGCTGGGCTGCTGTGCAGAAATGTATCTCGGTATTGTGATGATGGAGGCATGGAGGACGTGCAACAAGGGACGGGAAATGGGCATGGAAAATCTGCAGCAGGAGCTTGTCGGGTAGTTGTAGTAGGCCAAGAAGCCTGCGGTTTTGATGGTTCTGGGTAGGTTAGAAGTGCAGCAGATGGGTGGAGAGGGCTATTGCAAGTACACTGGGGGTCTGAACAAGGATGGTGCTGGGGAGTGTAACACGGATGGTGGCGTGGCATTGGGGAGGGCTGAAGGGAAGGGTGACGGGAAGGAGGTTGTGAAGGGCGGTGGAAAGAAGAGGGAGGGGCAGTGTGAGGCGCAGTGTGAGGGGCAGTGTGAGGGGCAGTGGGAGGGGCAGTGTAAGGGGCAGTGTGAGGGGCAGTGGGAGGGGCAGTGTGAGGGGCAGTGGGAGGGGCAGTGTGAGGGGCAGTGGGAGGGGCAGTGGGAGGGGCAGTGTGAGGCGCAGTGGGATGGGCAGTGGGATGGGAACAGAAGGACGGAGGGTGGGGGGTGGGAGGGTGGGTCACAATGATAGCGGGACACTGACAATGCTGGTTGATGTTCAGAAGAGGAGGATGCGAGTGAGGGCACGCTTGCTGTGTGTGAAGCGGTGGGTACTGTGGCACCTGCAGTAACACCTGATGTGGTGTCGTCTGTTGCACCTGGGGCGCCATTGGTGGTGGCACCTGGAGTGGGCCCTGTGGCTGCTGCAGCTGCAGCTGCTGCTGCGGCTGCTGTTGCTGCTGCTGAAGTGGTGGTTGCTTCAGTTGTGGCTGCTGCTGTTGATCCTGCTGCTTGTGTCGCATTTTCTTTTTTTTTGGCCCATTTGTCACGGCTGCACCAAGCTGCCGCTTCTGCTTCTGCTCCCGCCACCGCTTGGCATAGGAAAACACGAGCATGCACCAACTGTGATGGGTGGGACGGCGTGGGAAAAAGGTAGGAAACATACAACAGGGTTTAGAGATGATGCTCTTGCTTACGACGAGATAAGTGGAGGAGGAGGAGGAGGAGGAGGAGGAGGAGGAGGAGGAGGAGGAGGAGGAGGAGGAGGAGGAGAGGAGGAGGAGCAGGAGGAGGAGGAGGAGGAGGAGGAGGAGGGGGGGGGAGGGGGAGGAGGAGTTAGGAATAGCAGGGTCCTGGAGACAAGGAGGTCCCTTAGAGTCGGAAATGAAAGGCACGCAAAGGCACCAACAATGGAGTGGTACAGAAATTTTTCAGTCATAGAGGGGAATGAGGGGGCTGCCAGAATGCGGACTCTGAGGAGGCATCTATGCAAGGGACAGGAAAGCAGACAGCCACACCTGATGGCCTTGTTGTGCTCGTCCAGACACTTCCTGCTGTCCGCCCGATCACTGGATGACTCGGCTACTTGCCCCGCCCTTGCAGTAGCACCCGCTGCAAGCGGCGACGAATCGGTCGACGACGATGCTGACGCCAGCCCCGCACCAGCAGGGGTGGAGCCCCGAGGAGAGGCGCAGGTAGCTGGCTGCATGGGAGTGCTCCCAGTCTCCCGCCCTGCCTCCATCGCAGGCGTGGAGCTCCGGAGAGAGGCACTGGTGGAGGATGCAGAGCTTCTCAGGAAGGGAGTGCCTTGAGATGCCACCCCATCTTGCTGGTCCTTTGCAGCAGCATCAGCTCGGCCATGAGCAGGAGCATCAAAGACGTGGGCATCAGAGGCAGGTATAGCGCTGGTGGGGTTACTAGAGGCAATTAGGTTACCAGCACCATCAGAGGCATCATTGCTGCTGGTATCAGCGACAGCATCTTCAGCAGCCATTTCAGCAGCGGAGGAGTGCAGGCAGCGCATGATCTCGTGCACAGGCATGGGCGGCACAGGGAAGTCCATCATTGACTCCTCCGAGTCAAACGGGTCGTCCGAGTCAACGCTGCCGCCCAGGCCGCAACCGCTCATGATGCTGGGGACAGTGCCGGAGCCGGGAGCGCTGCTGATGGAGTCTGCTTTGTTGGCATCTTGTATGAACTTTCTGGAGGGTGGAAAAGGGAAAGGGAGCACGGATGGTTGCGTGAGGATAGCGAGAGTGGAATTTGGACGAAGATTCTGCATGGCCTTGGGAGGAGTGAGAGTTAGGAAGTAGGGTTTCTGCAAGGTGAAGGTAGAAGTAGAGGGGAAACCCCATTGTTACTCTTCGGACGGTTGAGTTGTCAAACGTCGACAGTTGTCAAACCCAATCATTAAGGCAAGGACAAACCTCAAGATAGAGATTGTACAATGCACGAAACATCAAAATCGGGAGAGGAAAACCCCGCTACACATTGATAACTGTTTCTTCAATATTTTCCATAACGTGCGCAAGATGTGTCAAGCCAATGGAAGCATAATTATTTGCACAGCATGAAAAATGCATCAACGAAAGCCAAACACCATGTATGTTTCCTCACCTCTTCAGGAGCAAAAATCGGTTGCAGCACGCCTTGCTGTCTCGATGGCGCCCCAACATGTTGCTCTGTTGTAGCAACGCCCATTGCGACGTGCCATTGTATAGCACATGCTCAAGGAGTATCTTGTCTTCCTGGAGGGGAAAATAGGATACAGTAATATGTAGCTGTAGGCGGCTGCTTGCCTTAATTACGATGCACTCAAGGCTAATGAAAATAAAGTGAGATATTCTATTTTTTGGCAATGCCGTGAGCTTATTGTAGTTAGAATGCAAATTGCGACAGCACACCTCCGAACTCCACCGTGCCGCGTACGTTCTGCCCGTTGTGTTACCGCGGCTACCCATTTCGATACAGCGTCGTCCAGCCGAAGCGCTTCGCATAAATGTTGTCTCTCGCTTCGTCGCCCGTCGCCACCGCGCAGTAACAAGAGGCGACTGGATGATCTGGCGCGAAAAATGGCGCGACGATACAATTCCCCTCGCGACAACGGCTCCGCTAAATGCAGCTCGCGAAACTCGCACGGGCTGTAAGTTCAGGTTCAAACACTTCAGCCTCACTCGCCCAATTGCTCTACCTCTCAGCTGCTGTTTCCGCTGCTGATTACTCAGCTTCTTCTCTGCTGCTTGTAGCTCAGATGCTCGATATGACAAAGTCTCTGCTAGCGAGTAGAATGCATCTGCTGATGAAATAGTTTCTTTCAGGGAACGCGCGAGGATCTCTAAAGACGCGCCGCAAGTGCAGACCCAGATTAAAATGCTTGCATTCGAGGTAGACCGATATTGCGTCGCAGATCGTAGCGACGGAATTATGCTACCCGCGCAGCACCAGAAAGTCTTCTCCCAACAATGCGGGGGCTAGAACAGTGGAGACGTTTCGCCGCCTTGTAAGTAGTGCAGCCCGTGGCGATCTCCCAAAATCTCGGGGCAAACTCTTCGACCCTTCGATCTGTGGAAAGGCAAGCAGCAGCTCATGACAGTCGTCGACCCAGCTTTTGAGGCAACTAAGAAAATGCGGCGTCGTAACAATCAGCGCCACTACTTGAAGCAGACCACGTGAGAGCCAAGCTTAACAAACAGCATTCAAGCTCTAGGACCCACGGGTGGTAAACCAAAGAACTGCTCGCAACTGAGCCCCGCACCTGACACAATGATGATCGCCGAGGCACAGTGCAGCTTCCGCAGCTTCCGATGAAGCCTCCACTCCAATTGGAGTCCGGCTCTCGAAGGGTTGGATCCGAGCCTTGCGCGGGTATCCGTTGTCTCTCTTTCCTCCGCGTGAAATTGCCCCTTTTCCTATCTCCCTTGCCCTGTGGCTCTCCTCGCTGCGACGGCCGCTACTAGCGCTTCACTTGCTATCTCAATGCTGCTCCCCGTGCCGGTGAATGGGGGGGATGCTGTGCCCTGCTGCTGCACTAGACCAATGGACAGGGGGGGGATGGGCAGGAGTGAGAGCCCCAGATTGCGGAACGTAGTGGAGGACGAAGCGCGTGATTGAAATATCTCTGAGTGGCCGAATTCGCCGTTTTTGTGTTGCGCGAATGCGGCGGGATCTTAGATCTTCACGGACGAGGAATGCCAGCCAAGTTGACTGGTCGATTCACGGAAACAGCCAAGAGGGTTCGGGAGAGAAAAGGAGAGGTGACAGGCAGGGAGGTGGAGATGAACTGACGTGGGCAGCGCCACCTGGCGCAGGCTGATTGGCCTAATCCGCCGCTATTCGACCTTTCGCATTGCTGTAGAGCCAGGAAGCAACAAGCGCGCGGAGAGCCTGCCACAGGCTGTCGATGGTCGAGCGGAATGCGCCGATGAGGCGGAGGTTCTGGAAGGCCTTGGGACTCCAATCGGAGAGGCAAGTGATTCGTGTGCGAAGTCGCGATCGTGAGCAAGCGGAACGGTCGGGGAGCCTAGTTGCTCTCAGCTTCGCGCTTATGAAGGACGCAGCAGCTTCGGCAACTTTCTGTAACCCGTTCAGTGCTATTTGCGACGCACGCTGCACTGTGTGCTACTACTGTTCATGGTGACATGTACAGTACCGTGCTGGGGGGAGGCCCTTCCGCTGGATGGAGGCGCGGTGCGCGGAAACCATCATCAAACTGGGGGACGCTCGACGGTTGAACAGCAGACAATCATCCAGTGCATGAGTGAAGGAACGGGGAGCAATTCACCACCTCCGGGAGAGGCGAGGGACAGGGAGTTGTGAGTGAGGTGTGATCGAGGTTGTGAGCGGCACAGGCGGAGGAGGGTTGAAGTGTGTGGAGTGGAGATTGGCGCAACGTTCAGACCGTTTGACATTTGCTTGCGACAAGCTAGCCACAAGGAAAGATCGCTGCTAACGAACCGAGGCTGGCTTGGGTTGTCGTCTTGTATGTGCTGTTACCTTGTGCGCCACTACAGTAACGTGAGAAGGACTTCTCGAAAGCACTTTTGCTGCCCAGCTAACTAGCGATATGATCCGTGAACATTTCTGTATCTACTCGAATTGCTTTCGTTTGTCTCTGTCCATCACGCCACGCCTTACAAATGCATGCCGTCACCCTGCTGCTTGCACCCATCTTGCTTGTACACGTACTGTAAGGAGACTACGCTTAGCAACAAACTCGTTTCCCTTTCCCCGAATGCGAGGGTGAACAAACACCAAGCGAAAAACGTGAACACAATGCCTGGATGACAAAATCCAGAGATTGGACGGGGGAGATCCGCAGAGACGAAGAGAACTTTTGTCCTAGAAAATAATGGAAGACTGGACGAGGCGCGATGTAAAGCCACGTCAGCACCAGCGTTCTTGCCATTCGAAAGCGCAGCGCGCGAATTTCCAGTGCCGCACTGGCGAAAGTTGAGGCGTCCCGATGCAATGGAAGTGGAGGAGCTCGAGGGGGTGACTCGTGATGTGAATCTTCTTTTCCCGTTCAACTTCACAGACCTACTGATACAGTTTGACTACGCTATATGATATACGCAAGGAATTACTCATTTGAGAGTATTCCCCTTCCGTGTTTGAATGCTAGTACAGTTCTCTTTCATGGAAAGAATATTTGTACATAATTTACACGATAAGTAATTCACACTAAGGGCTGGAATTCAACACTTTCAGCATTTGTACTGGAGCGATAAAGGCCAAGAAAGGCGGACGCAAATGCATTTTCTCTGTTATCCATCCAAAGGTTCCCATAATTTGGGGTATCCTGTGCAAAAGAGGAAAAAAAAAAACAAACAAACAAACAATACCGTAACAGGTCAACAAGCAAGTCACAAATGATGCTTCGGACCCCTCCTAGGCAAGTAGGATGAAAGATACACTTCATCCTCTACTACACCTCCCAAATCATCCGACTCATCACCAAGATATTTGTCGTCGTCTCCGAGATCCCTATCTGCCACGACAGCACCTACTCCATAATAATTCCCCGCATTATCGCCAGCACCGGTATCATCATCTGCGTCAAGATCCACGTCAGCAGAAAAGGCAGCGGTACCTGCCACATCAGCAGCACCAGTGTCCTCATCCACCTGTCCTGGAGTAGCCACGTCAGCAGCAATATCTCCAGCGACCAGAGCAGCAATGGCTGCATCGTCAGCGTCAGCAGGGTTACCAGCGGTGTTACGAGCAGCAGATGCACCAGTAGGGTTACCAGCAGTGGGGGTCTGAAGGAGCTCCACCTGGGGTTCAAAAGCAGGCCAGTCCTTGCGAGGCCTGCAGGGGAAGAGAGGAGGTGGGGAAAGATGCACCAGTCCAGTGGGGGTTTGAAGGGGCTCCACGTGGGGTTCAATTCAAAGGGAGGCCAGTCCTGGCGAGGACTGCAGGGGAAGGAAGGAGGTGAGGAAAGATGGATCAGCGGAGGTTAACAGGGTTACCAGCAGCGTTACAAGCAGCGGATGCATCTGTGGGGGTCTGAAGGGGCTCCACGTGGGGTTCAATCAAAGGCAGGCCAGTCCTGGCGAGGCCTGCAGGGGAAGGAAGGAGATAAGGAAGGATGAGAAGCGAGATACCAGAAGAAACTGAAAGGAACTAGACAAGTGCTTTTGAGCTATGCTGGAAGAGACACTCGCCGCTAAAACCGAAACGCATGTAGCCGTGTGCTGCAAGGCTCGCAGGGTTGGGACGAGAAAGCCTGCAGCTCCATCTTCCCCTCGACTCAAGCTAAGGCCGGTTGGCTGGCCCAAACCCCTACCTACCCAGACAGAACACGCCCTCGTCCAGGCCAGAGCCGTGGTGCCCACTGGTGCAGGTGGAAGCAGCTGCTGGCAAGGGGGAGAGGGGCCAGCATAACCTGTGCTCTGCGACTAGGGTTCACTCTCCACCCACCCACTTCTCACGCTCATGCATCCGTCTGCCCCGTCCTGCACAGCATCCCCTGGTGAATTCTCCAACCCATGACCCTACCCAACCATACCCCACCCCACCGGGCCCGCCCTCACCTTCTCACGCTGATGCGCCCATCTGCTCTGTGCATGAAGGCCAGAGCCGTGGTGCCCATGGGTTGGGTGGGAGCGGCAGCTGCTGCTGTGGCCTTTGGGCTGGACGGGTGCACGCGGAGGGGTGTAAGGCAAGAAGGGAAGGAAGAAAAGGGGGGAAAGATGAGAAAAGTACGCGGGACCATGAAAGCAAGAGCTGTGGTGCCAGCGTGGTGGGGTGGGAGGGAGGTGCTGTAGCTGCTGCTGTGGTTTTTGGGGTGGACCAGGGATGGAAGAGGGGGAGATGGGGAGTGTGGGAGAGCAGGAGAAAGGGAAAGGAAGAGGAGTGAGAGAGGGGAATAGACCACAGGCACACTCTCTCTAGCTTCTAACCTACCTCAACTTTCATCCCTCATCCCACCTTACACATCCTCTCTCCCTCGCCCCATACCCTCTCCATCCCCTCTTCCAACCCCCCCTCCTCATCCCCCCTCCCCATCAACCTCACACTCACTCGGCGTTCCCCCCTCGCTCTCTCCTTGGCCGCTTGGAGGAGCGGGGCTCCTTAAAGGCGAGCATCTGGCGGGCGAGCTGGTAGGGGATGGATTATGGACGTGGGCAGAAAGAGGGAGAGACAGCAGGTTACGTGGGTGCAAGAACCGTGGGTGGGAGAGTGAACCGCCTCCGCGGCCACTTGGAGGAGCGCGGCTCCTTAGACGCGAGCATCTGACGGGCCAGCTGAGGGGGGACAGGGAGACAGAGGAGGGAATTCCGGGCAGGAAGAGGCGGGGAGCAGCAGGGACATGGGCGGGTGAAGCGAACTCCGGGCGGAGGGGCTCCTTAAAGCCCAGCATCTGGCGGGCCAGCTGGGGGACAGACAAACAGGGGAGGGAGACAGCAGGAGTTCCAAATCTATGGGTGCGCCGGATCCTTGGAGGAGCCGTAGGTGATTAGGCACCAGCAATAGAATAGACGACTTTTGAGGTGCCTCAAAAGTCAGATCCTTGGAGGAGCCGTAGGTGCTTAGGCACCAGCAATAGAATAGACGACTTTTGAGGTGCCTCAAAAGTCAGATCCTTGGTGGAGCCGTAGGTGCTTAGGCACCAGCAATAGATGGGCGGGCTGGAGGGCAGATATGAAGAGGAGGCAGTGAAGTTTAAGATGGGTTCTAAAGTGATGATCAAGATAGAGATGTACGTTGGGAATAAAGCGGATGTTTGGAAACAATCAAAGAGGATTGATGGTGATGATGACCGGAGATGAATTGATACACTCGAGACAGCTGGGTGCAAGCAGGGGAGACGGAAGGAAGAGAGCAAGCAGAGAGCGGGAAGCAAGGTGAGAGTGGAAGGCGAGGAGAGGGGGGAGGAAGAGAGAGTGTGAGGGGGGTGGGAGCGCAGAGAGAGGGACAGAACATGAGGGGGGTGGGAGCGCAGAGAGAGGGGCAGAACATGAGGGGGGTGGGAGCGCAGAGAGAGGGGCAGAACAGAGTGCAATACTGGGAGGCGACCTTCGTTCGTTTCTAGTCAAGACTTTCGATATGAGACGTCTCAAGGTTGAGCCTTGAGACGTTTCAAAACTCTGGTCCGGACTTTCGACACAATTACGAGTCCGTTTCAAGATTCTCGGCATGATCCCCAATCCCTCAAATGCGAGTGCCTATTCCTCTACAAGGAAATGACTTTTGGGCCGAATCAAAAGTTCCTCTACCAAGGAACTGCAACGTATGACAATGGACAAGCGGACAAACAAACAAGAACACTAGAGAACAAAAGTTTGTTAGAATGGCCCACCTCTAGTAGTTGTTCTCGTAGTGTCACTGCAACCCAGACCTGCATGAGGACAAAGAGCACAGCAGGGGAAGGGAGAGAAGCTGAGGGTAAGAGGGTTGAGATGCTCCGTACCGCACTCATTGCCCGAGTCGGAAGAGAATGGCACCGCAGTGCAGAGCAGACGTGATAAAAGAGAGCCCAGTAGTGTTGAGACGTCTCAAAAACTCTCTTTTATCATGTGGGAAGGGAAAGGAGCTGCAGGTAAGGGGGTTGAGATGCCCAGTAGTGTTTGCCCAAGTCGGAAGTCGCATGTCAGAATGGCACTGCGTTGCACCGCATTGCAGAGCACAGCAAAGCACAGAAAAGCATTGTCTTTGCCTGCCTGCACCTCACAATGACATGCACAGAATGGGTAATAGCGTGACAGCAAAAAAAGCATCAGAGAGCGTGTTCTCAAGCACAAACCATGGAAGCGTACAGAGTGCAGACAGCAGGTGTGACTGTGAAGCATTGATAGCAGGCTGCCTATATATGGGATGGGAGTACATGAGCAATGAGTCAGGTCTAGAGGAAACAAGCAGGGTGGTAGCCAGCAGCAATAATTGCAGGGCGCAGCGAGAGGCAGGGAGAGGCAGAGAGAGGCAGGGAGAGGCAGGGAGAGGCAGGGAGAGGCAGGGAGTCAGCCATGTATAAGTGCACCCAAAGAGTCTGCCAGGTGTCGGTTCATCACCGCGAGGGTGAGTAAATCAGAAGGTGACCCTCGAGGAAACAAGCGGGGTGGTAGCCAGCAGCAATAATGCCGCGACCCGACTGTGACACATATCAAGACAAGACAAACAAACTTGGAAATCACAACCAGCTACCTGTGCTTGTGGGTCGGCATCAGTAATCCCAAGATCAGAGCACAGGCCGGCAGCATAGGCCTCGGGATCCGCGTATGGGTTGTTCAGATCCTGCCACGGGGTGAGATGGGAGGAAGGGAATGATCAGGACAAGGGGTTTTCAGATGTCTAGGCAACCAGCAATCCCAATATCAGATCAGAGGGCAGCACCATAGGCCTTGGGATCTGCGTATGGATTTTTCAGATCCTGCCATGGGTTGAGATGTGAGGATGGAAAGAGGTGGGTTGAAGAGTTGCATGTTACAATGAAAGCTGATAATTAAACGAATGAATTTGTAACCATCAACAAAAAGTGACGCATAAGATAAGCGGCCTCTACTATGGGAATGACTCCATGTATCAACCTTTCACGAGAACATTTAGGGCAAGAAAATAAAAACATGTCCACAAAGAGTGGCTTACCCACAGGAACTGGTCTCGGATAATGCATGTGGCTGTGCACACATCCAGCTGTGTGGGGGAGAAGAGGACATGTAGAGGGATGGATGGATAGTAAGAAAACAAAAATCGAAGGTGAGGTGAAAGTGATAACAAGACTTATGCAGTGCTGGCATGAACACAACGCAAAGTCTATATTCTGGAACTACGATTGCCACACTTGACCAGTCTCACCTTCAGCTGGTGCTCTTTTCCCTTCAATAGAAGCACTCTCACATTCACAATAAGCAAACAAGAAAGTGCTATCATCAAAGCTTCCAATTTAATTACACTATCAGCGTCGTCTTCCCTTCGCCAAGCATGCATTCGCTCTTTAGACAAGTATGTGCCTTGTATCAATCTCACTATAAGCACACTCGCTACAGGGAGTGTCTCTCACCTTCACCAGGTGCACGTTCTCCTCACTGGCTCCAAGCACTGCTGCCAGGTCCCAATGTGCAGCAGGGGTGATAAGTAAGGACCTTTTTCCACTTTCAGTTCACTATAAGCACACTCGCTACAGGGACTCTCTCTCTCTCACCTTCACCAGGTGCACGTTCTCCTCACTGGCTCCAAGCACTGCTGCCAGGTCCTGCACATGTAGTGATCGAAATTCAGCCACCTGGGCCTGCATGGTGAATGGGATGGGGAGTGTGGGAGTTAAGGGGGGAGGGGAAGGGGGCAGGGGAAGGAGCGGCAGGGAGAGGGTGGGGTGGGAAGGGGGGAGAAGGGAAGTGGGGAGAGGGAAAATGAGGGTAGGCGTGAGGTGGGAGGAGAGGGGAGGGAAAAGAGAGGTGCTTGGGCCAAGGCATGCCGTGTCCGGAGTTCAGCCAGCTGGGCATGCGATCTTCAGACATAATTCTCAGGGAGCTGCAGTAGTGAAGCTAGGCTTAAAGCATGCAGTGTCCGGACTTCAGTTAAGTGGGCATGCATGCGTGCAGGGGATGGGGGGGGAGGGGGAGGGTGGGGGTTGTGGGAAGGGAGGGAGTGAGGAGGTGGGGGATTGAGTGAAGGCGAGGCGAACAAGTGCAAGAACCACTCCCCCCTCCCCCTTCCCATCTCTCATCTCTTCCCCCCTTCCTCATCTCCCTCACCTCTGTCCCCCACCCTCCTCTCCCCTCCCCTCCCCTCCCCTCCGTCCCTCCTCCCTCCTCCTCCCCCCTCCTCCCCCCTATTTCCTTCCATCCCCCAATCCGCACACCTGAATGGCCTGTGTGATGTGCGGCAGGAAGTAGGGAGGAAGCTTCGTGTCCCTCACCAGGCCCTCTGCAAAGGCCGCTATCTCCCCATCCGGCTCTGCGGCAGGGGGAATGGATGGGACGGGGGGGGAGAGGATGGGGGAAGGGAGAGGATAGGGGGAGGGGATGGATGGGGGGACAGGGATAGGATGGAGGGAGGGGAAGTCAAGGGAGGGGAATGAAGCTAAGGCCCTCACCATCCCCTCTGCAAAGCAAAGGCCGCTATCTCCCTATCCGGCCTTGCGGCAAGGGGAATGATGGGATGGGGGGGAAGAGGATGGGGGAAGCCGAGAGGATGGGAGGAGGGCAGGAGGGGGGGGGGGGGGGGGGGGGGGGGAGATGGGGGCGAGCGGGCATAGGGAAAGTATGGGGAGGTCATTGAAGGAAGGGGGAGCAAGGGGAGGGGGGGAAGTCAAGGGGAACGGGGGGATGCCATGTGGAGAAAGAGAAGTGAACAGGAGGTAATCCAAAACAGGTGGAGGGAATGAACAAGAAACGGACAGGAGGAAGAAAGGCCGAGGGAGGAGGGAGCGAAGGGAAGCGATTGAAAAAGAGGGGACGAATGGGGAAAGAAGGGTGCGCAAGAGGACAGGCTTTAGCGGGGTGGGGGGTCAGGTGGGGTTTGGGGTGGGGTGAAGGGGGAAGAATGAGGAGTCGGGAAAAGTGAGCGGATGTAAAAGAATGGCATGGGGTCACAACAAGTAAGAGCCGCGTTACCGTTGCTGTTCCAGCAGAAAGCGTCCTGCAGCCGTTGATCTCCGATCTCAAGGTCCAATCGGACGGGCACGAGCGGATCATCCACTAGCCTGCAGGGACGAACGGCGAGGAGCGGAGCAGAGAACAGAGCAGGGCACGGCAAGGAAGAGCAGAGCAGAGCAGAGCAGAGCAGGGCAGGGCAGATTAGAGTAGAGCAGCGGTGAATGGTGTGTAGGGGCGAGTTTTGCAGCGTCGACGCGCCTCAAAATTGCAGGCGGCAGGGATGGATGGTGCGGAGGAGACAAAAACAGTGCTTCTTGCTTAGATATGCGACGTGAGACGGAGCTTGATGCTCTAAATGTGATTATAAGTACAAGGCATATCTAAGCATAGCCTCTAAATGGCTTGGCAGGGGTGGATGTGATGTGCGCATCTAACCATGCGGCGTTGGGAGGTAAAACGATGGGACGACTGGGGGGAACGAAGGGGGAGTTGAAGGGAGCAACGGCGCGCAAGGAGCCATGGAAATCTCGTCAAAGCTCTTTCGGAACCAGGTGACTCTTGGGTCGACTCAAAAGTCACCTCGCAACGGCGCGCAAGGAGCCATGGAAATCCCACCACTCGTTCCAAACGCATTCCTTCGAAACTCGTTTGGAACCAGAAGAGAAGCCACAATATACAAGGCTTTAAAAAACTTGAGCTTGACAACCCACCACTGTATACGGGGGATTTATGCCAACCCTAGTCGGACTGTCGCGCCCTACCGCATGGATGATGCGTGGCTGTCGCGACTGCCGCCACGTGGATCGCTGTTGGGTGCGCCGCCCGGGCCTCGTGGTTCGCCGTTGCGTGTGGCGGGCCGGGCCGTCACTGGTAATATGCAATTATCACTGCCTTTTAGAATTCTCGAAAACGATTCGTCGTTAGGTGCGCAGCGGCTTTCACGGCGAGACGCGTTGCTACAAGAGCGAATTCCTCAGCTGTTTTACATTTCGCGCGAGACGTGGTAAAAGCGTGAAGAAAGAAATGGAAGTGAGGAGCCAAGGGGGCGGGAAGACAGAAAGGGCAAACCTTATCGCCAAATTACTTTAGGGCGTGTAACAATTATACTTACAGGCAAATTTCTGACTGTCCTATTTTCAGTTTCAAGATTTCGAAGTACTGTAGCGTCGTTACAGAATTCACAACGTCGTTACTGTTAGAATTTAAACTGCCTGAATAGGATCGTAGTCTTAGGATGGTAGCTTCCTGTCGTAGCGGAAGACTTATATGAGTGACTTGTAACAGGATCAATGTCTCTGAAATCAAGTATATTATAAAATGACAAACATACAAAATATATAGCTAGTAAAGTACCTGTTCGCCTACTGTATTGTGCTATTCCTATACTGAAACGGTACGTAACTATTCGCGAAGTCTATAGCTACGTGCTGACGTCATCCTAGGTCGCGTAGCGCTTTGCTGACGTCAGCCTATCGGTACTTTACTGTACTACACGAATTTCCTTGAAGTGCTTAAGTCTCGATACTATCTCAACACTCCCCTTCACTTCTAGGAGTTCGGTGTGTTAGAATATATCTGTAACTGCCTGTAGCTGTAGTTAGTGTAGTTATTATAAACTGTTGGTGGTGCACCTTCTTTGCATGCTTTGTTTACTACTTGTACCTCGCTCAATAGTGAATTCTTCCTCTTTGGCTAAACTCTCTCGACATATGTCTCTCTCAAGTCTCCTCCTACCCCAAACCCTAGTGTTCACTTAATCTACTATTCTAACATGGTATCAGAGCTAGGTCGTCCTAAGACCTATTTTTTTTCCCCCATGGGCCCACCACGTATCCCCCCGCTCATGGCGCTCGTCACGCCCCCCGTCGCGGCCGTAGTTACGACGGTTGCAACGGTCGCGACCATCAAAACGGTCTCAAAGCTAGCTGCGCGACGGCGTCAGATGCGGTCTCGTTTCGTCTCCCCGTCGCGCCCGTTGCGCCCTGCTCGTCGCGCGCATCGCCTGCCCCGCCCCGTTCTGTCACGAACACAGCAGCAGCCGCGCGCAGCTGCGTACGGCCGCGCATTGCTGCGCGCAGCTTCGTACGACCGTGTGCACCCGCGCACGGTCGTGTGCGCCAGCACCAGCGCCCGTCGCCAGCACCTGCGCGAGCGCCAGCGACGACGCCAGCGCCAGCAGCAGCTAACGGCGCCCCACTCTTCCCTTCCGCAGCTTCCGCCGTGGGGGGGGGGGGGATGTGGGGGTGGCGGGTGTGAGTTGCCTGCAGCCCGTCCTTCCCCTCCCTTCAGCGGGGCCCGCCGTGAGGGGGGGAAGAGGTTGCGGGGGGAGGGTGAGGGGAATGGGGGAGATTGTGAGGGAGTGGAGAGAGAGATTCTGCCAAGCCAGCAGCCGCCCCTCCTCCTCTCTCTCTCACTGCCGCGTGTGCTGCCGTGGGGGGGAGGGTGAGACGGTAGCGGAAGTCAGCTAGGCATCTGCAGCTGCCGCCCGCTGCTACCGTGGCACCTTCTGCTGCCGCCCCTGCCTCCACCTGCTGTTTCTTCTGCTGTCTTCTGCTGTTGAGCGGCAGGTGCTGCCGTTGAGCCCTGCTGTGCCGCCGCACGGTGCCGCCGCACGCACACGCTTTCCAGGCGACCTGCCGCCACATGCACCTTTGTCTGTTGCTTCTACCTTGGCTGAGGGGTTGGTGTAGCTGAATCTGCCACCACTGCACCGGTTGCCACTGGTCTTGCCTGCTGATGCTGTTTCCTCTGTTCGTGGTGTACCCATGCAGGATGTGTTGCTGCACAAACTCCTGCTGCAGGCAGTTATGGGGGAGTGTTAGAATATATCTGTAACTGCCTGTAGCTGTAGTTAGTGTAGTTATTATAAACTGTTGGTGGTGCACCTTCTTTGCATGCTTTGTTTACTACTTGTACCTCGCTCAATAGTGAATTCTTCCTCTTTGGCTAAACTCTCTCGACATATGTCTCTCTCAAGTCTCCTCCTACCCCAAACCCTAGTGTTCACTTAATCTACTATTCTAACACGGTGTAGTTTTAAGCGGTTGTCTCAGAAACGCCGCTGAGCTGATTGCAGTGGTGGAACTTCTGCCGTGTCAGCTTCTTGGTAAGTGAATCAGCTGCCATGTCGTTAGTGGAGCAGTAGACAAGACGCATCCTCCCTTTGTCGATCGCGTCTTTGACGAAAAAGTAACGTAGTGAGATGTGTTTCGTGCGATTGACGAAGCCGGGTTTGTTGGCGATGGTAATCGCACTTTGGTTGTCGCACTGCAACGTAAACTGATTCGGCGTGACGAACTTCGCTTCGTCGAGCAGTTCCTGTAAGTATAGTCCTTCTCGAGTTGCAGCACACGCGGCAATGAATTCTGCTTCATCCGAGGAAAGTGACACCAGTTCCTGTTTCGATGAGTTCCATGAGATTGGACAAATGGGCTCGAGACGAAAAATGTAGCCTATTCGTGACCGGCGATCTGACGTGTCACCAGCGTGGTCTGCGTCTGAGGTACATTTTGTCGGTCGGTTTTCCTGTGTTGAAAATCAGCCCGACTGTTGGTGTTGCAACAAAATAGTGTAGAGCGCGCTGAAGATCGAGATGATGTTCTTCTTTAGGGCAGCGTAAAAACTGTGCGAGATAACTTGCGACGTACGCAAGGTCGGGACGACACGTGACTGCTGCGAAGAGAAGGCACCCGAGTTGCTGCTGGTACAGTTGTAAACCAGCTGCCGAAAGTTTGGTGTCGTTGAAAATGTACCCAGTGGGTGTAGATCGAAATGGTGTAACGACGTAATTTGTAGGAATCATGAAACGCTTAGCGAGTGACTCAGCATACTTCGATGCTGTGAGGTGAATGGCAGAAGAAGTTCGCGAGATGTTTAACCCAAGAAACTGGGTTACTTCGGTAGAAACGGTTAAGTCAAGGGACTTCTTCAAATCTGCTTCGATGCGATCACCCAGAAAATCCGAAGAACTTACGTAGAGAATATCATCAACGTAAGCCACGAGTAGCGCGTAGCTCCCCTTGTCGTCTAGCCGATACATTCCAGGATCATGTGGCAGTTGTCGGAACCCAACCTCTGTAAGTTTTCTGTTCAAATGCTGTTGCCACAGTCGCGGTGCTTGTTTGATGCCATACAATGATTTTTTGAGCTTGCAGACACTTGGCGGATTTGTCGGATATGTATGCGGATATTCGACGTAGATGTCGGCATCGACGTCAGCGTATAGAAACGCGTTGGAGACATCAATTTGTCGAAGCGGAAAATTCTTCGCAGCTGCTTCGCAGATAACGAGACGAACACTTGTGTGTCGGCTGACCGGGGCGAAAGTTAGAGTGTAGTCAACCCCATGAGTTTGGTCAAAACCGCGAACAACCCACCTTGCCTTATGTTTTTCATAAGAGCCGTCAGCTTTCGTCTTTACCCTAAAGACCCATTTTCCGGTAAGAATATTTTTATTTGTAGCCTTTTCGATGGGTATGAGATCCCAAGTCTCTCGTTTTTCCAGGGCAGCCAGTTCACGATCCATGGCTTCACGCCATTTTTCGCGATGTGGTCCTGAAAGGGCCTGTCGGGCAGTTTTCGGTTCTGCTTCTGAAGAATTATGCTGTACTGCTGCTGCGAGTCCCAGTATCTGAAGTCCAGTTTGATAATTAGGACTGTCGTCGGTCCGTCCTGCAAAATTGGAAGATTCACACTGTTCACCATTTGCCCCCCCAATTTCGTCAGGATCGACGCGGATGCTGCTGTCAGTTACAGCTGGCATGGGACGTCGTTGATCGTCCACCAGGTAAGTATGATGAACTTCACGAACATCGTCGGGATGAGCGTCAACGAGTGGAATGAATTCCGGAAATCCGGATGACGTGGTTGGTGTAGGTGGATCAGGGGCGGCTTCACGTGCACCGTCAATGTCAGGTTCTTCGTTGGCAGCAAGTTCGGCATCAGCGCTGGCGAATGAACGATTACCGTGGAAAAGTGTAGCAGGGTCACGCTGCGTGGCGAGGTACTGTTCGAAGACAGGAAGGGTCAGATTTTCGTAGAAAATACAGTCGCGGGCAGGAATTAAAAGTCGGCTGCGATAATCCATAATACGCCAGGCAGAAAACTGCTTCTCAAGGCCGAGATGAAGACCCCACTTAGCACGTTGATCGAACTTTCCGAGCGGAGCGGTGGGAGGACGATATTGCACAACACACCCAAAAACTCGAAGAAGTTTCGTAGTGCCCAATTTTCTTGTCCACAACAAGTGAGGTGATGCGTTGTTTGGTAAAGCCGATGAAGACAGGAGATTGTGTAACAGCGTTGCGTGGTCCATCGCGAAGGGCCAGTAGAGTGGGCCGAGTTGAGACTGTGCGAGTAGTGCTCGCATCTTTTCTTGCAAAGTACGATTTAGGCGTTCAGCTACACCGCTCTGCTGGTGAGCGTGAGGAAGTGAGAACAGGCGCCGTATGCCTCGTTCTTGCAGGTATGCTGTAAACTCGAGGCTGCGATATTCCCCAGCTCCGTCACACTGGAAGCTTTTGAGTTTTGTGTCTGACTCGCGTTCTGCGAGAGGCAGCCATGTCCGAAAAGCTGTGAAAGCAAGAAAACGGTTAGTCATGTTACCAGTCCAGACGTATCGAGTAGAAGCTTCAGTGAACGTGATAACATATTTCTCGCCGTTGAACCCTTCCGCAGGTAAGTTTAGAATATCGCTGTAAACTTTTTCCATCAATCGATAATCCTCAGCGCCAGGAAAATGAGTCGGGTACGGTTCGTGCGGTAGAT